CTAGTCTACAGTCTAGTCTATAGTCTAGTCTATGGTCCAGTCTATGGTCCAGTCTATAGTCTAGTCTATAGTCTAGTCTATAGTCTAGTCTATGGTCCAGTCTATAGTCTAGTCTATGGTCTAGTCTATGGTCCAGTCTATTTTTATAGTTTAAGTTTTCCATGTCTGCTAAGTAGTCCACCTTACTCTCACAAGTGTAAGTACCTTTGCACACAAACACATGTTTAAACTTATTACTAGTTTAGTCTTGAGTTGGACAAAGAGGAGGGAGCATCAAATTAGTTTGTTTATTTACTAATAAAGAGTTTATAACGGTAACTATTCTTAAGAGTAAATATGATTAAAAGAAGTATGTTTATTGGTAGACATTTGATTTTTTTGTTTACATACTACATACTTAATTTAGCAACTGTGTTTTAAGTATAAGGTTGATTGAAGGTCAGTAAGAGTTTATTTTTCAACACAATTAAAATTTTGAATTAAAAGAGATCTAAAATTATAAAAATTTAAAAAAAGTAAATGAGTTTGATAGATTTTTAAATAAAAGTGCTACTAGGCGTATGATTGTTGGCGGAAAAATGTTAATAATAAGCTTAAATAACGATTTAAATAACTGTAGAAAAACACTTTCTAGTAGATATATTTGTATTTATTTGTATCAAACATTTGTCTACACATTTATAATCAACATTCAACCAGCAACTATCTTTCTTATATATCACCTCCCCCATCCTAAAACATGTTATTCCCCTCCATTATAAACATGTCATTCCATAGTGCTATAATGATTACAATCTATATGACTATACTTACTACTCCTTTCAACAATACAAATCCCTCCTCCTTCACTTTTCCTAAATAACGTTCTACTTTAGACTTTATAAACAATATAACTGAATGACTGGCAGACTGACTTGCCTATAATCTCTACATATGTATGTAAGTATATGTGTTCATGTACCAAATCTTTTGTTTATAACATTTCTTCTATTTGTGTTCATATGAATGTATGAGAATCTCTAAACATATTGTACGAATTGTAAGTAACCTGCTACATCATATCCTGTCTTGTTGTAAATTCTATTGTTCTAAATTTCTTGATAGAAATTGAATGAAGAATGATAGCTTAAATTATTATCAAGAACAAGAAGTAGAACAACAACAAAATGTATAGTAACCATTGTTAAAAATAAACAAAAGTTTAAAATACACATGTAGACATACTTAAGTTATAAACTTTTTATAAAAGGTTTTTACAAAATGTGTGTTTTCAACAGCAAATTAAGATTTTTTGCTAATTTACAAAAATGTGGAATAATAATAGAAGTTAAAATAGACTAGACTATAGACTAAACTATAGACTAGACTATAGACTAGACTATAGACTAGACTAGACTAGACTATAGACTAGACTATAGACTAACCTATAGACTAGACTATAGACTAGACTATAGACTAGACTATAGACTAGACTATAGACTAGACTATAGACTAGACTATAGACTAGACTATAGACTAGACTATAGACTAGACTATAGACTAGACTATAGACTAGACTATAGACTAGACTATAGACTAGACTATAGACTAGACTATAGACTAGACTATAGACTAGACTATAGACTAGACTATAGACTAGACTATAGACTAGACTATAGACTTGACTATAGACTAGACTATAGATTAGACTATAGACTAGACTATAGACTAGACTATAGACTAGACTATAGACTAGACTATAGACTAGACTATAGACTAGACTATAGACTAGACTATAGATTAGACTATAGACTAGACTATAGACTAGACTATAGACTAGACTATAGACTAGACTATAGACTAGACTATAGACTAGACTATAGACTAGACTATAGACTAGACTATAGACTAGACTATAGACTAGACTATAGACTAGACTATAGACTAGACTATAGACTAGACTATAGACTAGACTATAGACTAGACTATAGACTAGACTATAGACTAGACTATAGACTAGACTATAGACTAGACTATAGACTAGACTATAGACTAGACTATAGACTAGACTATAGACTAGACTATAGACTAGACTATAGACTAGACTATAGCCTAGACTAGACTAGCCTAGACTAGACTATAGACTAGACTATGACTAGACTATAGACTAGACTATAGACTAGACTATAGACTAGATATAGACTAGACTATAGACTAGACTATAGACTAGACTATAGACTAGACTATAGACTAGACTATAGACTAGACTATAGACTAGACTATAGACTAGACTATAGACTAGACTATAGACTAGACTATAGACTAGACTATAGACTAGACTATAGACTAGACTATAGACTAGACTATAGACTCGACTATAGACTCGACTATAGACTCGACTATAGACTCGACTATAGACTAGACTATAGACTAGACTATAGACTAGACTATAGACTAGACTATAGACTAGACTATAGACTAGATAGACTAGACTATAGACTAGACTATAGACTAGACTATAGACTAGACTATAGACTAGACTATAGACTAGACTATAGACTAGACTATAGACTAGACTATAGACTAGACTAGACTAGACTAGACTAACTATAGACTAGACTATAGACTAGACTATAGACTAGACTATAGACTAGACTATAGACTAGACTATAGACTAGACTATAGATAGACTAGACTAGACTATAGACTAGACTATAGACTAGACTATAGACTAGACTATAGACTAGACTATAGACTAGACTATAGACTAGACTATAGACTAGACTATAGACTAGACTATAGACTAGACTATAGACTAGACTATAGACTAGACTATAGACTAGACTATAGACTAGACTATAGACTAGACTATAGACTAGACTATAGACTAGACTATAGACTAGACTATAGACTAGATAGACTAGACTATAGACTAGACTATAGACTAGACTATAGACTAGACTATAGACTAGACTATAACTAGACTAGACACTATAGACTAGACTATAGACTAGACTATAGATAGACTATAGACTAGACTATAGACTAGACTGTAGACTAGACTATAGACTAGACTGTAGACTAGACTATAGACTAGACTATAGACTAGACTATAGACTAGACTATAGACGAGACTATAGACTAGACTATAGACTAGACTATAGACTAGACTATAGACTAGACTATAGACTAGACTATAGACTAGACTATAGACTAGACTATAGACTAGACTATAGACTAGACTATAGACTAGACTATAGACTAGACTATAGACTAGACTATAGACTAGACTAGACTAGACTATAGACTAGACTAGACTATAGACTAGACTATAGACTAGACTATAGACTAGACTATGACTAGACTATAGACTAGACTATAGACTAGACTATAGACTAGACTATAGACTAGACTATAGACTAGACTATAGACTAGACTATAGACTAGACTATAGACTAGACTATAGACTAGACTATAGACTAGACTAAACTAGACTATAGACTAGACTATAGACTAGACTATAGACTAGACTATAGACTAGACTATAGACTAGACTATAGACTAGACTATAGACTAGACTATAGACTAGACTATAGACTAGACTATAGACTAGACTATAGACTAGACTATAGACTAGACTATAGACTAGACTATAGACTAGACTATAGACTAGTCTATAGACTAGACTATAGACTAGACTATAGACTAGACTATAGACTAGACTATAGACTAGACTATAGACTAGACTATAGACTAGACTATAGACTAGACTATAGACTAGACTATAGACTAGACTATAGACTAGACTATAGACTAGACTATAGACTAGACTAGACTATAGATTAACTAACTTTTAAATTTATTTTTATTAAAACACCCTTTTTTATGCTACACAAAAAGCTAACAAATGAACATAGTTTTGTTTTACTACCTCTCTCCCAACATCCTGTTTAATCTACATTTCTATACATCATATTAAAAAAGTATAAACAGGTAAGATAGTATTTACTTATGTGTGTGTAAATAACACACTTATTATTTGTCACAGGTTGCCTTGAGAAACAAAAGAGAGAAACAACAAACCAAACATACTTTTCTTCCTTTTTCCCCAATACAACAAGAGACAGCTATAAATAAGTGGGACTATGTATGAGTATGTGTTTAACATGTCCTTGCGCATTCTCTGGTAACTTGTCTTGTCTTCTATTGTATATATGTTGTAGTTGTTTTGTTATTTTTATATTTTTAATGGAACTTAAATCCATTTTTCTGCTTTTAACAATTATTGTTGCTGTATATGTAGGAGGAAAGAATGAAAGGAATACAGAATATTGTTGAAAATATCAAAAATGTTATCCTTATAATGGCAGAAGCTTTTTCTCAGATTTGTTATATGTTGTTGACAATTGTTATTGTTTTCAGATTGTCAATATGTTGCTGAGTACTTAACTTATAAGAGTGTGTGTTTTTGTGTGGGATAAAGTGAGGGGGAAAATATGTCCTTAATATTGAGTTGAGTGTGTGTAGCTTTTCCTTTTAAAAGTCTTGTTTATAGTTGTGTGTTATAGGAGGTTTTCTAGAATATAACAGGGTCCTTAGAAATCTAGGATAATTTAAGTTTAGTTACAATGTTATGTTGGTATTACCCTGTTTTTCATTAAACCACAAAATTGACTCAATTCTCTGGAAAAAGGGAGTTGGGGTGTACATTTCCCTTGTATTACTTTCTGTAATTTTACTTCATTGAGTTACTTACATCCTTAAGTATCTTCATACATTTGCTACAAATGTAAATGACAACTGTCTTTCTATTAGTAATATTCTTACAATATTATTCTTTAGCAAGAGCTCTTGTTTTTGGTTACTATTATTGTAGTCCTTGTTCAACAAATTGAAATTATCCTTGTCATTAGCAACCGTTACAACATTTTTCAATGGTTTAGTAAATATTTGAAAAGTGAAAGGTAATTAATATTGATTTAAATTATTTACGCTTTTTCTTCTTTTCTTTTTATTTGAAGGAGCCGAATGGAAACTTTTAACCGAAGAAGAAAAACGTCCATTTATTGATGAAGCCAAGAGGCTGAGGTAGGTGTAGCAACCAACAATATCCCTACATTTCTGTAAAATTCGTTTAAATTTTCTTTATCTTAGAGCCATGCATATGAAAGAACATCCCGATTATAAATATCGACCGAGAAGAAAACCCAAGGCTTTGAGAAGAGATGGTTATCCCTATCCAATGCCATATCCATCGGTACCAGTAGAGGCTTTAAGGGCAGGTAAGTCACATACTATAAATTAAATCAAATTTTATAAATAATTAAACGAAAACCTACAGTCTACAAAAGGTTACTAAACCCTCTAAAGTTCGCTTTTTGAGTGAAAACATAAAAGTCCATTTTCTGGCTAAATTAGAAGAGTTACGGCCTAAAGGATGAAAATCTGTGATCACTTCTAAATCCTACCAAAATTCGATTTATTAAGTGAAAACATAAAAGTCCATTTTCTGGCTAAACTATAAGAGCTACGGCCTAAAGGATGAAAATCTGTGATCACTTCTAAATCCTACCAAAATTCGATTTTTTGGGTGAAAACATAAAAGTCCATTTTCTGGCTAAACTAGAAGAGCTACGGCCTAAAGGATGAAAATCTGTGATCACTTTTATTTCCTACCAAAATTCGATTTTTTGAGTGAAAACATAAAAGTCCATTTTCTGGCTAAACTAGAAGAGCTACGGCCTAAAGGATGAAAATCTGTGATCATTTTTATTTCCCACCAAAATTCGATTTATTGAGTGAAAACATAAAAGTCCATTTTCTGGGTAAACTAGAAGAGCTACGGCCTAAAGAGTGAAAATCTGTGATCAATTCTAAATCCCTCCAAAATTCGAGTTTTTGAGTGAAAACATAAAAGTCCATTTTCTGGCTAAACTAGAAGAGCTACGACATAAAGGATAAAAATCTGTGATCACTTCTAAATCCCACCAAAATTCGATTTTTTGAGTGAAAACATAAAAGTCCATTTTCTGGCTAAACTAGAAGAGATAGGAGCAAAAGAATGAAAATCTGTGATCACTTTTATTTCCTACCAAAATTCGACTTTTTGAGTGAAAACATAAAAGTCTATTTTCTGGCTAAACTAGAAGACCTACGACCTAAAGGATAAAAATCTGTGATCACTTCTAAATCCATCAAAAATTCGATTTTTTTAGTGAAAACATAAAAGTCCATTTTCTGGCTAAACTAGAAGAGATAGGAGCAAAAGAATGAAAATCTGTGATCACTTTTATTTCCTACCAAAATTCGATTTTTTGAGTGAAAACATAAATGTCCAATTTCTGGCTAAACTAGAAGAGCTACGGCCTAAAGGATGAAAATCTGTGATCACTTCTAAATCCTTCCAAAATTCGATTTTTCGAGTGAAAACATAAAAGTCCATTTTCTGGCTAAACTAGAAGAGCTACGGCCTAAAGGATGAAAATCTGTGATAATTTTTATTTCCTACCAAAATTCGATTTTTAGAGTGAAAGCATAAAAGTCCATTTTCTGGCTAAACTAGAAGAGCTACGGCCTAAAGGATGAAAATCTGTGATCACTTCTAAACTAGAAGAGCTACGGCCTAAAGGATGAAAATCTGTGATCACTTCTAAATCCCACCAAAATTCGATTTTTTGAGTGAAAACATAAAAGTCCATTTTCTGGCTAAACTAGAAGAGCTACGGCCTAAAGGATGAAAATCTGTGATCACTTCTAAATCCCTCCAAAGTTCGATTTTTTTGAGTGAAAACACAAAAGTCCATTTTCTGGCTAAACTAGAAGAGCTACGGCCTAAAGGATGAAAATCTGTGATCACTTCTACATCCTTCCAAAATTCGATTTTTTGAGTGAAAACATAAAAGTCCATTTTCTGGCTAAACTAGAAGAGCTACGGCCTAAAGCATGAAAATCTGTGATCACTTCTAAATCCCACCAAAATTCGATTTTTTGAGTGAAAACATAAAAGTCCATTTTCTGACCAAACTAGAAAAGCTACGGCCTAAAGGATGAAAATCTGTGATCACTTCTAAATCCCACCAAAATTCGATTTTTTTGAGTGAAAACACACTACGGCCTAAAGGATGAAAATCTGTGATCACTTCTACATCCTTCCAAAATTCGATTTTTTGAGTGAAAACATAAAAGTCCATTTTCTGGCTAAACTAGAAGAGCTACGGCCTAAAGCATGAAAATCTGTGATCACTTCTAAGTCCCACCAAAATTCGATTTTTTGAGTGAAAATATAAAAGTCCATTTTCTGGCTAAACTAGAAGAGCTATGGCCTAAAGGATGAAAATCTGTGATCACTTCTAAATCCCACCAAAAATCGATTTTTTGAGTGAAAACATAAAAGTCCATTTTCTGGCTAAACTAGAAGAGCTACGGCCTAAAGGATGAAAATCTGTGATCACTTTTATTTCCTTCAAAAATTCGATTTTTTGAGTGAAAACACAAAGGTCCATTTTCTGGCTAAACTAGAAGAGCTACGGCTAAATCCCACCAAAATTCGATTTTTTGAGTGAAAACATAAAAGTCCATTTTCTGGCTAAACTAGAAGAGCTACGGCCTAAAGGATGAAAATCTGTGATCACCTCTAAATCCCTCAAAAATTCGATTTTTTGAGTCAAAACATAAAAGTCTATTTTCTGGCTAAACTAGAAGAGCTACGGCCTAAAGGATGAAAATCTGTGATCACTTCTAAATCCTTCCAAAATTCGACTTTTTGAGTGAAATCATAAAAGTCCATTTTCTGGCTAAACTAGAAGAGCTACGGCTTAAAGGATGAAAATCTGTGATCACCTTTAAATCCTTCCAAAATTCGATTTTTTGAGTGAAAACATAAAAGTCAATTTTCTGGCTAAACTAGAAGAGCTACGGCCTAAAGGATAAAAATCTGTGATCACTTCTAAATCCTTCCGATTTTCGATTTTTTTAGTGAAAACATAAAAGTCCATTTTCTGGCTAAACTAGAAGAGCTACGGCCTAAAGGATGAAAATCTGTGATCACTTCTAAATCCTTCCAAAATTCGATTTTTTTAGTGAAAACATAAAAGTCCCTTTTTTGGCTAAACTAGAAGAGCTACGGCCTAAAGGATGAAAATCTGTGATCACTTCTAAATCCTTCCAAAATTCGATTTTTTGAGTGAAAACATAAAAGTCCATTTTCTGGCTAGAAGAGCTACGGCCTAAAGTATTAAAATCTGTGATCACTTCTAAATCCTTCCAAAATTCGATTTTTTGAGTGAAAACATAAAAGTCCATTTTCTGGCTAAACTAGAAGAGCTACGGCCTAAAGGATGAAAATCTGTGATCACTTCTAAATCCGTCAAAAATTCGATTTTGTGAGTGAAAACACAAAAGTCCATTTTCTGGCTAAACTAGAAGAGCTACGGCCTAAAGGATGAAAATCTGTGATCACTTGTAAATCCTACCAAAATTCGATTTTTTGAGTGAAAACATAAAAGTCCATTTTCTGGCTAAACTAGAAGAGATAGAAGCAAAAGAATGAAAATCTGTGATCACCTCTAAATCCTTCCAAAATTCGATTTTTTGAGTGAAAACATAAAAGTCCATTTTCTGGCTAAACTAGAAGAACTACGGCCTAAAGGATGAAAATCTGTGATCACTTGTAAATCCTTCCAAAATTCGATTTTTTGAGTGAAAACATAAAAGTCCATTTTCTGGCTAAACTAGAAGAGCTACGGCCTTAAGGATGAAAATCTGTGATCACTTCTAAATTCTTCCAAAATTCGATTTTTTGAGTGAAAACATAAAAGTCCATTTTCTGGCTAAACTAGAAGAGATAGAAGCAAAAGAATGAAAATCTGTGATCACCTCTAAATCCTTCCAAAATTCCATTTTTTGAGTGAAAACATAAAAGTCCATTTTCTGGCTAAACTAGAAGAGCTACGGCCTTAAGGATGAAAATCTGTGATCACTTCTAAATTCTTCCAAAATTCGATTTTTTGAGTGAAAACATAAAAGTCCATTTTCTGGCTAAACTAGAAGAGATAGAAGCAAAAGAATGAAAATCTGTGATCACCTCTAAATCCTTCCAAAATTCCATTTTTTGAGTGAAAACATAAAAGTCCATTTTCTGGCTAAACTAGAAGAGATACGGCCTAAAGGATGAAAATCTGTGATCACTTCTAAATCCTTCCAAAATTCGATTTTTTGAGTGAAAACATAAAAGTCCATTTTCTAGCTAAACTAGAAGAGCTACGGCATAAAGGATGAAAATCTGTGATCACTTCTAAATCCCTCAAAAATTCGATTTTGTGAGTGAAAACATAAAAGTCCAATTTCTGGCTAAACTAGAAGAGCTACGGCCTAAAGGATGAAAATCTGTGATCACTTCTAAATCCCTCAAAAATTCGATTTTGTGAGTGAAAACATAAAAGTCCAATTTCTGGCTAAACTAGAAGAGCTACGGCCTAAAGGATGAAAATCTGTGATCATTTCTAAATCCTTCCAAAATTCGATTTTTCGAGTGAAAACATAAAAGTCCATTTTCTGGCTAAACTAGAAGAGCTACGGCCTAAAGGATGAAAATCTGTGATCACTTTTATTTCCCACCAAAATTCAATTTTTTTTAATGAAAACATAAAAGTCCATTTTCTAGCCAAACTAGAAGAGCTACGGCCTAAAGGATGAAAATCTGTGATCACTTCTAAATCCCTCAAAAATTCGATTTTGTGAGTGAAAACATAAAAGTCCAATTTCTGGCTAAACTAGAAGAGCTACGGCCTAAAGGATGAAAATCTGTGATCACTTCTAAATCCTTCCAAAATTCGATTTTTCGAGTGAAAACATAAAAGTCCATTTTCTGGCTAAACTAGAAGAGCTACGGCCTAAAGGATGAAAATCTGTGATCACTTTTATTTCCCACCAAAATTCAATTTTTTTTAATGAAAACATAAAAGTCCATTTTCTAGCTAAACTAGAAGAGCTACGGCCTAAAGGATGAAAATCTGTGATCACTTCTAAATCCCTCAAAAATTCGATTTTGTGAGTGAAAACATAAAAGTCCAATTTCTGGCTAAACTAGAAGAGCTACGGCCTAAAGGATGAAAATCTGTGATCACTTCTAAATCCTTCCAAAATTCGATTTTTTGGGAGAAAACATAAAAGTCCATTTTCTGGCTAAACTAGAAGAGCTACGGCCTAAAGGATGAAAATCTGTGATCACTTCTAAATCCCTCAAAAATTCGATTTTTTGAGTGAAAACATAAAAGTCCATTTTCTGGCTAAACTAGAAGAGCTAAGGCCTAAAGGATAAAAATCTGTGATCACCTCTAAATCCCTCAAAAATTCGATTTTTTGAGCGAAAACATAAAAGTCTATTTTCTGGCTAAACTAGAAGAGCTACGGCCTAAAGGATGAAAATCTGTGATCACTTCTAAATTCTTCCAAAATTCGATTTTTTGAGTGAAAACATAAAAGTCAATTTTCTGGCTAAACTAGAAGAGATAGAAGCAAAAGAATGAAAATCTGTGATCACCTCTAAATCCTTCCAAAATTCCATTTTTTAAGTGAAAACATAAAAGTCCATTTTCTGGCTAAACTAGAAGAGATAAGAGCAAAAGAATGAAAATCTGTGATCACTTCTAAATCCTTCCAAAATTCGATCTTTTTAGTGAAAACATAAAAGTCCATTTTCTGGCTAAACTAGAAGAGCTACGGCCTAAAGGATGAAAATCTGTGATCACTTTTATTTCCCACCAAAATTCAATTTTTTTTAATGAAAACATAAAAGTCCATTTTCTGCCTAAACTAGAAGAGCTACGGCCTAAAGGATGAAAATCTGTGATCACTTCTAAATCCCAACAAAATTCGATTTTTTGAGTGAAAACATAAAAGTCCATTTTCTGGCTAAACTAGAAGAGCTACGGCTTAAAGGATGAAAATCTGTGATGACTTCTAAATCCTTCCAAAATTCGATTTTTTGAGTGAAAACATAAAAGTCCATTTTCTGGCTAAACTAGAAGAGCTACGGCCTAAAGGATGAAAATCTGTGATCACTTCTAAATCCTTCCAAAATTCGACTTTTTGAGTGAAAACATAAAAGTCCATTTTCTGGCTAAACTAGAAGAGCTACGGCCTAAAGGATGAAAATCTGTGATCACTTCTAAATCCTTCCAAAATTCGATTTTTTGAGTGAAAACATAAAAGTCCATTTTCTGGCTAAACTAGAAGAGCTACGGCCTAAAGGATGAAAATCTGTGATCACTTCTACATCCTTCCAAAATTCGATTTTTTGAGTGAAAACATAAAAGTCCATTTTCTGGCTAAACTAGAAGAGCTACGGCCTAAAGCATGAAAATCTGTGATCACTTCTAAATCCCACCAAAATTCGATTTTTTGAGTGAAAACATAAAAGTTCATTTTCTGGCTAAACTAGAAGAGCTACGGCCTAAAGGATGAAAATCTGTGATCATTTTTATTTCCTACCAAAATTCGATTTTTTGAGTGAAAACATAAAAGTTCATTTTCTGCCTAAACTAGAAGAGCTACGGCCTAAAGGATGAAAATCTGTGATCACTTTTATTTCCTTCAAAAATTCGATTTTTTGGTGAAAACATAAAATTCCATTTTCTGGCTAAACTAGAAGAGCTACGGCCTAAAGCATGAAAATCTGTGATCACTTTTATATTCTAGCAAAATTCGAAATTTCGAATGAAAACCTAAAAGCCTTTGTACTTGCTAATTTAGGTTTTGTTTTTACTTTTTGTTTATTAAATATTTATTTAATAATAATATCAAGTATTGTTGCCATGATGTCATTTACAAACATGTTTCTGACAAATACACATAATGGAAATATGTTATAGACCAACAAAAGCTAATTTAGGAAAAACTATAAGTATGTGAAAGGACTTATAAAGGATGTGTAATAAAAAGAATACAAAGACATAAAGACAAATACTGAAATGTCACGTAAGCAGAGAATGACATTAGCAAGAGACATGAAAAATCTAGCTGGAATCCATAAATAAATATTTATTATGTGTAACAGTTTCTTTGTGTTTTACAGGGGGGGGGAGTTAACTTGTATTAAAACTATTAGGGGGATTTTCAGGGTTTACTGAGAAGAAACCACCAATTGTGGACATAATTGAGTTATGTGGGGAGAATTTAGCTTAACTCAGCATTTGTATAGACAGCTAATGTTTGCTAGAGTAATATATGGTTCTATTGGAGAAAAGTTTTGTGAAATAATGTCCTTCCGGTTGTCCTTTTTGCCGCCTCTTTGAGGGGTTAAAAGAGCAAAAACTAACAATCTAAGTTAAAGCTGAGAAAGCATTAATAGAATTTCAAGATTAAGAGTAAAACCCGCTGCATCACTCTGACACTTAGAAGAGATGAGGTCAGCATTGCTTAGGCAGACAATCTATTATTATGATAATTGTTTAATAAAGTACCAATTTGAGTGTAACAAAGAAATAGTTAAAGAACACTTGACAACAACTATGCTTTACTCAAAACCCTTTTTAAATTATCTTTTGTTTGCAGGCATAACGCCCAGTTATTTTGCGCCGGGACCAGCAGCAGCCGCTTATCATTTAGGCAGTCATCTAACGCAAACGAATCCACCAACATCACAGGTGAGTAGTAGCTACATAGTAATTTAAATTGTTACAAAATTGGGCATAAAAGGGTTCAAGTAAAAAAGCCGATCAACAATTAACTCAAGTACCTTGATTCAAAAAGGAAATGTGGTAATTGTTTCTTTTTTTCACTTCTCCAAACTACTTTCAAGGTCTAGTTTTATACATATAGAAGTACAGTAGCCATTAATTTGTTAAATGCTGATTCACTAACCAGCGATTTTAATCATTGGTTTTGTTTGAATGCTTGGTATAATAGGAATGGTCTGAAGACTTGATTGATCGATCGTTTGTTTGTTTGATCTAAACTTTAGTAAACTTACCTGTGTGCGTGTGTGTGTTGAAAAGGTTGTGGTCGTTAGCCATCGTCACACCTGCAAATTATTTCGTTGATTGTTTAATGACATAATTTCCAACTCCTCTAAAGAACGCCCACTTAAAAGAGTGGTGGCGCAAACCTGGAAAAAATACAAAGAAACCCTGGTTAAATAAGAGAATAACAAAAACACTGAGAGAAAAAATATAGATAAAATGCACACCAAACTCTCTCCCAAACTGCTCAAGATAACAGCTTCTACATTATCGATCTTTGTAGATATTTTATAATATTTCTCTCTGTGTATTTCCTTCCACCAACATTTGCCCTAAACAAGTGTTACCTTTCCTTGAATACCTCAAACTTTATCTCTATTTAGTTTTTTTTATTTGTTTATCCTTAAAAACCTTGTAATTGTGCAACCTTTTTAGCCAACGTTACGCTTTACTCTAGTTCCTCTTTTCCATAATTTTGGCAAGTCATCAGTACAACTCTACTCTATTCAACACAATTATTTACTAACGAGAGTGTTTAGGCACTCATTGATGCCGTATAACACCTTGTAATTTTTCAATTATGAACATTTAAAATTAAGGCAGAAGCACCCTTTTATGTTAAAGGTAAGCAACAAACCAGGCTAGTACAACTCCAACAACAACATGACAAACTAAATTAAATTATGATGATGACGATGTGACAAGTACATTAAACTACTATATGGTAAGGGTTTCAAGGAGTGTTGCCTGTACTGCACATATGCTTTGGTGACACTTGTAAGGACGGACTTATAAACATAAATAGTAGGAAAAAGAAACCCAAGTTGTTGGCAGCTGTTTTACAAAGAATTTTTGTTGAACCATAAGCGTGAAAAATCAACTGGAGTTACGTTACTTTTCATATTTTTCTCTTGGTTGGTTTTGTATATAAAATATGATATACTTGGGAACATTTCAAGAAGTGGCCAAATTTATAGGGACAACAGGGAATTTACTGAACATCGCTTCCAGATTTTTTGTACTCTCCAAAGTTAAGGAAGCTAAGGAAAGGTTTAAAGATATTTCTCATTAAATTAATGCAAAAGCCATTTGGAACACCAGCCCAGATGTTGCTAAACCATTTGAAGATTTCCAATAGTTTTGTACACTTTAGACTCTCCTCAACCAAAGCAAAAGTCGACTATTCCAAATACATCACCTTCCAGCTAATGTAACAATGGTCTAGACGATGTAAGGAACTTCCAAATCAGAAGTGAACAAAAAGAAGAAGAACAAAATGACTTGATCATCTCCCCAAAACAGTCCAAAAACAAATCCAGCCATGTTATAGCCAAACTAAACCTTAAAGTTGCTGACAATCCGATTAACACTCGACGATATTCGTAGAGCCGATCTAGTCGATGCAAGGCATTATAAAGCTGAACTGTGGCGAATTAGATCTTGATCACTTGAATAATTTTCGCAAAAATGTTTTGAAAATTCAACGCGATGATGTATCAAAATCAATCCTTATGAATCAAGGATCTTCTAACTACACATTGAAATCGACAGACAATCGCATAAGGAAGAAGAGCTAAAACAAGCATCTCCCTATAAATTACCGAAATCGGTTGGTTTAAACATATTGAGCCTGATAGAGGAATAAATGAAAATCTTATTGAAACGTAAACTTAATATGGGAAATTGCTAATTGTGGTATACAGTTTCGAGTATCTGTCATCCAAACAGATGATACAGTCATCAGTTTCGAGTATTTGCAATCGAATCAGAATCATAAAATTCCCAGTTGCATCTTTAGGAAGTACCGATTAACTCCAGAAAGTTTCAAGTAGAATCTTGAAGTCAGTAAGTTCGTGAACATGGACGTTGAGTAATGATCCAATTAAAGTCATGAAATTACCAGTTGGATCTTTCAAAAGTTCTGATTAACTCCAGCAAGTTTCAAGCAGAATTTTGATGTCAGTTAGTTCGTGAATATGGACGCTGAGTGAGGATCCAAGGAAAGTCTTATTTGAACGTAAAGTTGATGTCGGAAATGAAAAAGTTGTGATATTTAGTTTTGAGTATCTGCAATCCAATCGGAATCAGGAATTTCCCAGTTGCATCTTTAGGAAGTTCCGATAAACTCCAAGAAGTTCCAAGAAACTATTCTACCAAATAAAGCTGTAGGTATCTGAATATGACAGCTAAAAGAAGAAGTATAAGGATCAAATCAGACGAAGGAAGACACCAAAACTTGACATCGAAAGTTGCTAGCCAAATACTTCATCCGGGGGCCAAACATTATAAGAGATCAACCTTAACTATCCAAGAATCTGCTAGATGAAAATTGATGACTAAAGTTCGAAACTTTTCCTACTCAAGGGAGTAGAGGCTCGACATACAGCAGTTTCGAAAAAAATTAGCATAGTCTCCCGATTGTAGACAATTGATTGATGCTAATGAATTGGGTAGACTGATCTGATCCATCGATTCGATGTCCTTTCACTCACCTATATAGACTTTTAAGACTATTCTTCTACCCAAACATTACCAATGCGAGGAAACTAAATGTAGCAAGCATCGCCCAGTAAACTCCTGAAATTAGTAGATGTGTGAATGTGGAAAACGCATAAGGAAGTAGGTTGGCAACATGAGAACTAAACTAAGCCCAGGGTAAACCGAATTAAAAAGTGAAATTTGGGGTTGGGTAATTGAAGGTTGTGCTACCGGGGTTAAACTTTTTAACTCTATTTTCATCTAAGGCATCATCCTTAGGTATCTAATAATTACAAGGGAGAAAGCTACAGTTTGGACTTTATTTTACCCACTAGAGAAGTGTCCTGATCTACAGAAGTTGCAAAAGAAATCCGCGTCGCCAAACGATCAAAAACTATTGGCTGAGTATGAATAATCTTACAAGTCGATTTCTTTCCTCTTAAAGCTATTCTTTGTCTTAAACTGATCCGCCATCTACTAGCAGTAAACTACCAAGATGGAATTGGACGATTTTCTTGATATTCATCGCAAGATCTAGCGTGAAGAAGGTGAAGACAGTGCTTCGAAATTGACAGCGATACCAGGCTTTTTCTAGACATTATAGTCCAAGTTCGTTCAAAACCTCTATTTATCTTCTTTATCAGAAACTCTCACAACCTTCGAGAACTGCGAGAATATAATCATCGAAATCACCTGCAATAATATTCACATCATAGACGAATTAGGTAAAGAAAGACAAAGTTGATGAGTTTGGACTTCTGTCGATGAATCGCCTTAACAGATACGTTATTGGTTATCTACTAAATTAGAAGTCCGTAGTTAGTTGATCAATCTAGTAATCAGCATGAGGAATTATAGATTTTGGCGAAGATTTTGTTTCTATGATTTAATCAGAAGAAACATAGTTCTTCGATCTAAATAGAAAACATTTTAATGCCAAGAAATCTTCAGAAATTTTTCAAATAACTTTAAATAAAATAGAGATTTCCCACTCACAGTTCACACCCCATGATTAAAAAAACATCTTCACCTAAAATTACATATTTACACTCATTAGCAGCACTTACTCTTTATGCTACAAACACATACAAAACAATCATCTAAAAAGAGTAATTAAAGCCCTTAAGTAACGTTGTGCCACATAACTTCTATTTAAACATCCGCCTACTTCCCCTTCTCAACTACAATTTTCTGCAGTCAAACATTAAAACAAGGTGTGATGCTAAAACCTTAAGTTTCTTTTAGATCTATTGTTTGAAAGAAACTCCCTCTTAACTCAATAGCTGAACTTTAACCACAAAACATATATGTATGTACGTACAACAAACAAAGTCGTAAAGAAGAAAATTCCCTTGACATATTGTTTGGCAACAACATAATTATAATAATCACCAGGTTGGTAACAGTTGCGTTGCCAACCAACAACAAAGCTACACCCCCTCAAAGTCATGCCAAACGAACAATTCAAAAGACGCAATCACATATTCATTAAATGTGAGTGAGAGATAGGTTGAAAATATGGATGTATGTATGTTGGCTGAATGTTTTTTTTTTTCTGAATAGATGTGACAGCCTTGTTAGCGAGTTGCAATGTATTCATTAGCAAGTTATTAAAATCCATGACTGTCGTATGGCTTTGTTTGTGGCAAAAAGTAAGAAAAGGAGGCAACAAACAAAAAAACTGTTCACCGTTCTTTTAGTCGTTTGGAACAGGAACCATATAATAAGTCAAATACCTCATATGTAAGTGTTTGATGGACGTCGTTGTCGTCGTCTATATGTTGAGCAATAAATTTTGTATTGATGTTTTGTTTGGGGCGAGTGTTGAAAGTTTTAATATTTTTTTTTTTTCGTTTGGGGCGTAATCTTTTGCCATGGTTACTAAAAAAAAATCAACAACTTTAAATTATAGAGTTTATTATTTTCACTTGAGTTGCAGATTTTCACATTTAAATAATCACTTTAGTTTTGTTGTTTGTTTGTAACTATAACGGAGTGGGTATTGTTTGTGGCGGCTTAAAATTGACGGTCAATGAGGTAGAAAGACAGTCAAAGACACCAGCTTTTTCAATGAGTTTAAGTCTGTATTGTGGGTCAAGAGTATTTGATTGATTTCTTTAGTAATCGCATGTTAAATTATGCAAAAAAAGAAGGAACGGAGGCTTTAAACTTTGAAGTTTATTCCAAAATCGACTCAAAACAATCTTAAATTTGAGAAGAATTCTTAGAATCCGAACTTTGATTGCAATAGCTTAACAAATTCTGAAAAAACTCCCTCATTCATAGAATTTTCCTGCTAAACCATGAATAAATTCTCGATCACTGGAAGATCACTTTAAGCAAATGAACTCGATGAGACGCACGGAAAGGAGCATTGCTCAGGTAAACCGTTAATAAGGCTGGTGAATAAGCTTAAACAGAAGAAATTACTTAATCATTCTAACGAAGCAAGGATCGTCCAGCAAAACGCAAGTTGTGGTATACAGCTTAGACTCTCTGCAACTCAACCAGCTAGTCAACTACTCCATGGGAGAACAAATATTCTAGATCACCCACATTCAAGTTGTCAGAACTTTGAATTCTTTTTTCAAGTCATCTCTTTGATCTTCTTTAAGCGATCACAGATTAAATAACATTCGAGAGATGTCACTGTTTGTGTAGTTTCACATAACCGGGTTCATATGACTCTTTTTTCAATTTAATCTGCATTAAACTAACTCCAACTTACAGTTGTCATTTTAGTTGGACGATCTGGAAGTTATTGCGTTTGATGCAGAAATGAGCTAATCGCCATGCATCGATTAGTTCTGAGAATATCTTAAGGTATATTTGCGGTACCTAGTGACATCTTTTTTAAATGGGGATTCTGTTGGTGATGTTACTTCGGAAAATATTCAAATATGTTTGGGAGTCCAAAAGTCACTTCGCATAGTTTGTCCAATGATCTCGTCAAGGTAACCTAGTTGGACTGAATCGTAAATGAATATCCAAGACGTAACCTTTATGAAGTTGTTCCCAAACACATCTTCCTTTAAGATCTATAGTCCCAAACTTCCGAGGTCGTAAAGACGAAAGTTCAATCAATCAAGAGTCCATGATTGTATATAGTTTTACATTCGTGTGCTTAACAGAGAACCACTGAACAAACTCTTCCTACAATTTCAAATTTGGCCTAAGAGATCCAGTTGACATAGTTCGATACCCCAAAGATTCTAAAAAGCTTTCCCCCTTAGATTAACTTTAAAGTCCAGTCAAGTGGAACCATGCAATTGCGGAATTCTGTCATTACGAAACGATTATAATGCATTAACTGTCCTTATATAAGAAGATTCAGTTAAGAAGATAACTCCTCTAGAGATTCTAAACAGTTCTCTAAGAACAACTTCAAAGTAAAGATAAGTTAAATCTTTCAATTTCCAAACTATTTGAGGTAAACCATATGTTTGATATTGCTGGTATTAACAGCCCCTTGGAGGGAATATAGTGGACATTCCGGCCCGTAGAACCGTGAGAATGGAACTTCTATGATAACTGGAGAAAGTGTAGATTCTAAAAAGCTCTTCCCCTTAGATTAGCTGTGAAGTTCAGTCAAGTGGAACCATCCAATTGCGGAATTATTTCTGACATTGCGAAACGATTATAATGCATTAGCTGCCTTAATATCTGGGAATTCTGTTAAGAATATAACTCCTTTTTACAATTCTAAAGAGTTCTCTAAGATCCCCTTCGAAATGAAGACAAGTTAAATCTTTCAATTTCCAAACTATTTGAGTTAAACCAGAATGAGACTTCTATGATTACTGGCGAAACTGGAGATTCTAAACAGATCTTTGGTTTAAACACTGAAGTGGAACCTACCAATTTAGCAACTTTGCGAGTATGTTCCAAAGAGTAGATGTTGCGTTAGGTTTCTTTGAGAAATAAAGATTCTGAGGAACAAAGCAACCAACTTTAAGTTTTATAACTTCGAAGGACATTCCTGCAATCGTTGTGATGGTCTCATTTCTCCTTCGTAAGGGTGTTGAAAGGATTACAAAGATCCTGCGATCCCTACTTTGGCTTAAAAACTGAAGTGGGAGTTTCCATTTTAGGAACTGTGCGGGCATATTCCAAACAGCATATGTTGTATCGGGTTTCATTGAGAAATGAAGATTCTGAGGAACAAAGGAACCAACTTAAAGTTTTCTAACTTCGAAGGACGTTCCTGCAATCGTTGTGAATTGTATAGAGGATGTTATCGCGCACTTGTTATATCTATACAGGCACCATTACTCCTTCGTAAGGATGTTAAAAGGATTAGGATGATCCTGCTATCCCTAGTTTTCAAAGGTTTGATAACATAAAGATCTTCTGGTAGAATCAATGTAAAGTGCAAGCAAGAGAAAGGTAGGTCAAAGGAAGATTTCTACGTTAAAGACTTTTGCATAAGATTAGGCTTTCTAGACAAAACAATTTATTAATTCGAATGACAATTCATATGAAAACAATTAATTTCCGCGCAGAGTTCTGAGGTCTATTATATCAAAGACAGCAAAGACTCTAGTACTTTCAATAGAATGAGTCTGCTTGATACTTTATATAATTATCTGCAGCATAGGAAAGAGATTGTCGAATCCCTTTTCCCTTTCAGGCGTAAAGTGTTACATATGTTTTCCTCTTAAATCCTGTTAAACAAAACAAACACAATTCCTTACACTGGCCAACAAAGTTAAGCTGAAAGATGAAACCATTTAAATGTAACACATTGTTTTCCATTTCCCAAAACCTTGGCTATCATTTAAATTTCATTTCGTTTAACTGTTTTGCAGTATGAGTGTGAGTGTGTGTGTTAAACACAAACACAATTAATTGATTACAACAATCAAAATATTTGTGTTTTTGAAATAAAAATTCCCAATTGGTTTCAAATTGTGATGGTAACAGACGAAAGAAAAGAAACAACTTACGAGGCTGCAATTATAACATCACGTTTATAGACCATGATTATGATGATGATGAGGATGTTGGATGGGGCGGTTTTGAATGCTTAAAAGGGCTTTAAAGGTTGCCAGTGTAAACATATTCAATTTTATTTGAGTTTAAATTTGAAATCAGAGTAGATGATGATGTGTTAACAAAGTAATTATAGACTCGACACCCTATATTTTTTGGAATAAAATGAGGGTTACAAACAACAACGGCCACGAACATACATCCGTTACTGTTTTCACAATTTATTTGTATATTTATTTGCTTGTTGTTTTTTTCTGTTTAGTTAAACAATGTGAGAACATTTAGTAAAAGAAAAACCTCCCCCCTTAGACAGGATTTTGAAAAGCAATTTTTTTTTTTGTGAAAAAAAATTAAGAAGATGAATAAACATTATTTTAAATAAATGCGATTACATTGCAATAAATATTGCTGTTGGTTGTTTGTTTTAGAAAACCTGCTACAATTTGTAATGTTTGCTTTTCCACTTGAGTTGTTAATTGCGGCTACAAAAAAAAAAAAAAAAAGGATTCTCTCTATAATATACAAGGATTCCAAACAATTCAATTCAATACAAATAATACAATTAAATTGAATCCAATTCAATTCATTGCTATTTGCAATCCCATTAATGTTTGATGTTTAAGTCTCTGAAAGGGGATGTTGAATAAAAGTGTTTCCTTTTGTTAGAAGTAACTAAATCGCCTTAAAAACTAAAGTGTCATCATGCGCAATTAGACATTAGACAACCAACAACAACAATTGTCTCTTAAATCTAGCTAAATTTTAAAAAATTTTTCTTTTATTCCATATTATTTGCAGACTTCTATATCCGGACAAATGGAAGTGCCCAAATTTGCTTTAGATCGCAACTCTTATCTAAGCACAGCTGCCACCGCCGGATCTCTTTACGAGTCCTCAAAAGCAGCCCAGGCTAGTGCAGCCTATAGCGCCTATTTGGATCCCAGCGTCTTGACTAAGGCCTATTTCGATTCGAAAATGTATCAAGATCGAGCCGCCAACTATGCCTTTGATATAACGAAAATCTATGGTGCCCAGCAGCATAACTCGGCCGCTGCTGCCGTGGCTCATCAACATCATCAGCAACAACACCTGCTTAATGGTCTGGGCATAGCCAGTCCTCACAACAACAACAGCAACAATGCCTCTTCGAATAGCAACAATAATGTAGATGAACGTGACAATTCACCACATTTGGATACGGGCGGCAATAGTAGTAGTGGTCCCATTGGCGTAATACCCGATACAAAATCTCATTTACACTCACCCAACGACAGCCAATTAGAATACTCTCAATATGCTCAATACAACCAAAGTGCAGCAGCAAGTTTTAATAATGGCGCATTAACGGCTGCCGCTTCAACGAATACCGCTGCGGTTAGTTCGGCCACTAGTGGTGACTTTCGTAGGCCCCTAACAGTTATATTTTGACCGCCATCTGATGAATGCGAAGAGCTAAATCTGTCCATAACAAACTAGGCTATAGACGCATATACACCCTCAGAAAAACAAAACTTAAAAAGGATTTCTCTCCCCTTTCTTTTCCTTTTCTATTTGTTTAAAAATTTTACAACGATCGGTGCAATTTTATTAATACATGGAAAATCAAAAGTACTTATAAATACCAACAACAAACATTATATATAATAATATATATAAATACTTAATTAAATCATATATAATTATATATATATACATTCCAAACAACAACAACAAAAATATATTAAATAATAAAATTATATAAAACTGAGATTAATTATTTAAATATAATTTTCTTTTTTATTAATATTTTTCTTTTAATTTTTTAAAAATATTACAAAAAAATTCTGTAAAATTTAAGCATTTTTTAGGGATTTTGTTAAATTGATGAATAGTTTAATTAAAGCAATTAAAGTTTTCAACAAATTGGACATTTGTAAAGAAGTACCTTCTTAAGACAGTTTTCTTATAGAAAAGAGTCTTCCTAAGACAGTTTTCTTAAAGAAATGATGTGTTCTTTACACAGTATTCGTAAAGAAAAATGTCTTCTTAAGACAGTTTTCTTATAGAAGAGTCTTTTTAAGACAGTTTCCTTAGAGAAAAATGTCTTATTAAGACTTCTTAAGAAAGTTTTATAGATAATTTTCTTCTTAAGAAAGGTTTCTTCTTAAAGAAAGGTGTCTTCTTGAGACAGTTTTCGTATAGAAAAGTGTCTTCTTAATACAGTTTTCTTATAGAAAAGTATCTTCTTAAGACAGTTTTCGTATAGAAAAGTTTCTTTTTAAGGCAGTTTTCCTATAGAAAAGTGTATTCTTAAGACAATGTTTGTATAGAAAAGTGTTTTCTTAAGAAATTTTTTTATAGAAAAGTGTCTTCTGAAGACAGTTTTCGTACAGAAAAGTAGAAAATTGTCTTCTTAAGACATTTTTCATCTACAAAAGTGTCTTCTTCAGACAGTTTTTTTAGAGAAAAATGTCTTCTTCTGGGAGATTTTTTATAGAAAAGTGTCTTCTTATTAAAGTTTTCGTATAGAAAAATATTTTCTTAAGACAGTTTTCGTATAGAAAAGTGTCTTCTTAAGACAGTTTTCGTACAGAAAAGTAAAAATTATCTTCTTAAGACAGTTTTCGTATAAAAAAGTGTCTTCTAAAGACAGTCTTAGAGAAACGTATCTTCTTAAGATAGTTTTCGTATAGAAAAGTCTCTTCTTAAGACAGCATTCCAATAGAAAAGTGTCTTCTTAAGACAGTTTTCCAATAGAAAAGTGTCTTCTAAAGACAGTTTTCCAATAGAAAAGTGTCTTCTGAAGACAGTTTTCGTACAGAAAAGTATCTTCTGAAGACAGTTTTCGTACAGAAAAGTGTCTTCTGAAGACAGTTTCCGTATAGAAAAGTGTCTTCTGAAGACAGTTTTCGTATAGAAAAGTGTCTTCTTAAGACAGTTTTCGTATAGAAAAGTGTCTTCTTAAGACAGTTTTCGTATAGAAAAGTGTCTTCTTAAGACAGTTTTCGTATAGAAAAGTGTCTTCTTAAGACAGTTTTCGTATAGAAAAGTGTCTTCTTAAGACAGTTTTCGTATAGAAAAGTGTCTTCTTAAGACAGTTTTCGTATAGAAAAGTGTCTTCTTAAGACAGTTTTCGTATAGAAAAGTGTCTTCTTAAGACAGTTTTCGTATAGAAAAGTGTCTTCTTAAGACAGTTTTCGTATAGAAAAGTGTCTTCTTAAGACAGTTTTCGTATAGAAAAGTGTCTTCTTAAGACAGTTTTCGTATAGAAAAGTGCCTTCTTAAGACAGTTTTCGTATAGAAAAGTGTCTTAAGAAGACAGTTTCTCTAGTGAAAAATGTCTTCTTAAGACAGTTTTCTTATAGAAAAGTGTCTTCTGAAGACAGTTTTCTTATAGAAAAGTGTCTTCTGAAGACAGTTTTCTTATAGAAAAGTGTCTTCTGAAGACAGTTTTCTTATAGAAAAGTGTCTTCTGAAGACAGTTTTCTTATAGAAAAGTGTCTTCTGAAGACAGTTTTCTTATAGAAAAGTGTCTTCTGAAGACAGTTTTCTTATAGAAAAGTGTCTTCTGAAGACAGTTTTCTTATAGAAAAGTGTCTTCTGAAGACAGTTTTCTTATAGAAAAGTGTCTTCTGAAGACAGTTTTCTTATAGAAAAGTGTCTTCTTAAGTCAGTTTTCTTAGAGAAAAGTATCTTCTTAGGACAGTTTTCCTATAGAAAAGTGTCTTCTTAAGATAGTTTTCTTAGAGAAAAGTGTCTTCTTAAGACTTTTTTATAGAGAAAAGTGTCTTCTTAAAATGCTTATTTTTTACAAAATATTAAAAATTAAATTTTGTTTTTAAAACAAAAAATAAAAATAAAACTTCTAATGAAAGAACTAACAGTGTCTAACAAAATTGGTTAAATAGTTTAAATGTAGAAATTTTTTTAAACAAATTTGGTAACAAATTGGTTTAAACGGTCAAAATTTGGAATACAAGATTTGTTGGAAATTTCATTTTGTTTTCTTGAAAGTTTTATTAGACACTGTTTTTGATATAATAGCATAAATAATAATAACAAAAATAGATTCTTAGGAAAATTGTAGCATGTATTCGATTTTATTTTCTAGGAGGTGTAAATACACAAAAAAAAAAAAATAAATAAAAACCATATAAATATTATTAAAGGAAAATTATATACAAATAAAAAAATGAGAAACATAACAATGGTCTCAAATTAAAGCCTCATAACTGACAATTTTTTCCTCTATAAAACTTAAAGTATGCAAATGATTACTCTGTCATTAGTTCAAAGTTTAACGGATTAACTTTAGAGGGAAATTTTATCAGTTGTGAGAGTTTTTTGAGTGACCAGAGTTTTAAGTTAAATGTTTTGATTTTCTTTGAATTTTATAAAATTAATATGAATTTAATTGCATTAAAACAGCAAAATGTAATTGTAACAAATGATTGTATAATAAAAAAACAAAATTAATTTCATTATTTTATGAAAAAAATGAAGAAGGAGTATTATTTAAGGGAAATCTAAGGTAAAAGGTAAGTAGGGGTTTACAGCTAATGTACTAGTCTAGTAACTAGTGAACAGTAACTAAAAAAATTTGCTTTATTTGGATTAGAAAGTCGGGCTTTATAATCCTGAGTTCTGAGTTTACTTATCACACAGTTAATTTCAAACCTGGCCACCAGTAACCAGTCAAGTAACTGGTATCGTTGTAGTCTTTGCTAGAGTAAAGCTACTTTAAATCTTAGCAATTGCAGTAATTTATTTAAAAAGTTTCTTAAAATACTTCAAACATTTCTCTTCCTCTTACTCTCTTCGTTTCTTGAAAGGAAGTTAATAACAAGTTCCTTTCCCCCTTTTTTTCCTCCCTTCCATTTCTGAGAGTAATTAAAAAGTAAATGCTGTTAATCAGAATTATTCATGTAAAAACTTTTGAAGAACATTTTAAGTTTTGCTTTTTTGTTTTTAACATTTTTGCCTCTTTTCATAAGGTTTTTAAGATTTCAATAAGACGAATGTCATTAAATTAATTTACGTTAATGAGTGCCGTTGAAAAGCCACAAAATGATTTTCGTTTTATTTTATTTATTTATTTTCTTATAACTTAATTGGTAATTGAGACTGTGTCAGTGTATAAAATATTTTCATATTTAATTAACGCAAATTATAACTGCACTCTTTAAATGGTTTAGTGAACATTAAATGAAAGAAATTATAAATAATTAGTAGAAGAAAGCATATTAAGGAAGTTTAAATAGGAAATTTATATGTAAGTCTTTTAAAGGGTGTGAGTAGGTGTGAAGCAAAAAATCAACATAAAATTACATAATTTTACATTATTTCAGTAAAAGTCTTTTATAAATTGTTAGACAATTGCATTATTTTAATCTAGTTTGAAAGTAGACATCATTTCCTATCTAATGATATATAATATGCCTACCTTATCTTTGAAATAAGACCAATTTAATGGGTTCAAAGTTAACACTACGCAAACAAAAATTACCAAAATCAAGAAGTTTACCTAAGATACGGCATTATTGAGCACTGTTTTATCAAACACTTTAACAAATATCACTGCATTACCTTCAAAACCCCAATCATAACACCTGCAGCAGCGCCCTCTCCTGTTGAGTCATAAAACTACAAGTTACTTCAGACACACTATTACCGAAAATTAGAATTCTTCAAATCTACTAAAAGTATTAATTCTTTTCACAGCCCAACTTGACAACATACAATTACCGATAATATAAAAAGCAAAATTTTCGATACCCTACTTGTCAGATAAAACAGTACCAACGACAAATTTGACATCGAGATGGCACAACCAACATCGAATTACAATGGTTCTGCGCTTGACTGAGGAAAATATTTTATAATCCACAGAAACCCAAAATCTAAGAAGACACTTTTCTATAGGAAAACTGTCTTCTATAAGAAGACACTTTTCTATAGGAAAACTGTCTTCTATAAGAAGACACTTTTCTATAGGAAAACTGTCTTCTATAAGAAGACACTTTTCTATAGGAAAACTGTCTTCTATAAGAAGACACTTTTCTATGTCTGTCTTCTACAAGAAGACACTTTTCTATATGAAAACTGTCTTCTATAAGAAGACACTTTTCTATATGAAAACTGTTTTCTATAAGAAGACGCTTTCCTTTACGAAAACTGTCTTCTATAAGAAGACACTTTCTATATGAAAACTGTCTTCTATAAGAAGACACTTTTCTATAGGAAAACTGTCTTCTATAAGAAGACACTTTTCTATAGGAAAACTGTCTTCTATAAGAAGACACTTTTCTATAGGAAAACTGTCTTCTATAAGAAGACACTTTTCTATAGGAAAACTGTCTTCTATAAGAAGACACTTTTCTATAGGAAAACTGTCTTCTATAAGAAGACACTTTTCTATAGGAAAACTGGCTTCTATAAGAAGACACTTTTCTATAGGAAAACTGTCTTCTATAAGAAGACACTTTTCTATAGGAAAACTGTCTTCTATAAGAAGACACTTTTCTATAGGAAAACTGTCTTCTATAAGAAGACACTTTTCTATAGGAAAACTGTCTTCTATAAGAAGACACTTTTCTATAGGAAAACTGTCTTCTATAAGAAGACACTTTTCTATAGGAAAACTGTCTTCTATAAGAAGACACTTTTCTATAGGAAAACTGTCTTCTATAAGAAGACACTTTTCTATAGGAAAACTGTCTTCTATAAGAAGACACTTTTCTATAGGAAAA